GATGGACTGAGTTAAGGGTAAGAGAGAGAGGAAAATGCCAATAAGAAGAATGAGTATGTAGGTGGATAGGGTGGCTAAGAATATGCAGGTTTGCTATGAGTTAGGTAGAAGAACAGCAGTCACAAGCTGAGTTCTAGACCAGTTAATTTTGTGTCTAGGCATACATAAGTGAGTTGGAAGATGGATCCACAGATCTGGGAGATTACAAGTATTTTGGAGTTGTCAACATACAGGCAGAATGTGAAGTCACAGGAATGAATATTACTCACAGAAAGCAGGTAAGTTGAGAAGTGGGAGAGGAGAAAAAGCAAAATAAGATGAAGGAAAAAAATCCTCAAAGGAAAGTTTATGATCACACCACTCCTTTTCCCCATCAACAAATAAACCCAAGTGACCTGTGTTAATTAACTATGGCTACTATTACCAAAGTGACTTTTATTAGTGATTACCAATGCAGAGCACAACTAAAGGATGAATATCAAAAGCTAAAGGAAAGAAGGTAAAGATAAAAAATATGTACAACATCCCCCATGCCACATTACCAATAATGCAAATAATGACAAGAATATGCACTTATTCCCGAAAGGTTTCCAAGAGCAAGAAAAAGAATAGCTAAATGAATAAGCAATTACTATAAAATAAGATATTAAAATAATAAATACCAGTAACAAAGGAAAAAGGCTTGGGCAATCTGTATTAGGTGGGGGAGGTAGGCTTAAAAGCAACAAGTATATACCAATGACCTGATCAGAAATTGTAAAGCTGGCTAGTTTTATCTTCAGTCCACAATCAGAACCTCCCTCATCCCCTTTATTTACTCTATCTGTATTATATGAAAACAAAACAATAACAACAAATTTATATTTAAGAAGCAGCATTCTGAATAACTGTACAATAGTAGTATGTCATATCACACTGGAAGTATCCACCTCAAAAAACAACTCCAGATCGCTCTGGAGCCACCACTCTCCTCAGAGTACCACATTAGCTGGTACTTACATAATAGCAGTACCAGGCTACTGCAAGCTTCTAAATGTTTTCAATTAATACATTTTTCATATAGGATGGATCATTTCTCATTCCATACTTAAAGACATATACAATTACTATTTCTTCTTCTACAAAATCTATACTCATTAGCAAATAACTGCTCCTTTGATGTTTTCTCCAGCCTTAAGTTTTCTAAGCTCCAGATAAGCCTTTCCAGTTTACAGTAGTCCCCTATTAACTGCAGAAGATTAGACCAAGACCCCTCTGTTCATGCGTGAAACTGTGGACGGTACCAAACCCCATATATCTGTTTTTTTTTTCCATCTGATAACTGAGACAGCTATTAAGTGACTAAGGGGTGCAGGGGGTGGGCAGAGAGTGTCTATAGTGTGGCTACGCTGGACAAAAACAATGACTCATGTCCCTGGTGGAATGGAGTGGGATGGCAAGAGCCATCATCACGCTACTGAGAATACCACGCAATTTAAAACTTATGAATTCTTTATTTCTGGAATTTTCCATTTAATATTTCTGGACCACAGCTGACCATAGGTAACTGAAACCATGCAAATTGAAACCAAGGATAAGGGTGCTACTGTATTTTCCATTACTAACTGTTTCCTTCACATCCAGCTGCTATTTCTTAATCAAACCTCATCTATTACTATCTTTCAAGCTCTACTCTAAAACTTAATGACTTGGGAAGACTCTCCCAGATAAACTCAGCCTTCACTCAGTCACTCTTTTTCTCCAAATGTCTATGTAATTTTTAACTGTTATTTTTGCACTGTTTTATAACACCATTATACCACTTCGCAAACATAAACTATGCTTTCTCCATGATACTATCGGCTACCCTCAGGACATGAGCTCTCATTTCCCACTTCTCCTACTCTTGCTGGCATTCTAGCACAACACTCTACCCATAATAGATTTGCAACAAATACCTAAACATAATGACTCATTAATAGAACATATCTGGTCAGTGAATAGATACTGCATGCCAGGCACTGAGATTACAAAAATTATTTTTAAAAGCTCCCTCTCTTTTGATTTTTGGAGCCTAAGCAGGGTGAGGAAGGCATGCAGTGAGACAGGAGATTAGTTACACACAGGCAGGTTGATCAAATAAAAAAGAATATTTGAGATAATGACTGCTGTGTTTCTCAATGTTAAATAAGGGAATTAGATATTTAAAATTTGAAAACTAGACTTAACCCTTAGGTGTACAATCAGAATTGAATGTATCACTGCTGTGAACTCAGAATTTTCAGGTTATATCCATGTTCATTTGTGCATGCATGTATACACATGTATGTACATATATATAAATTCATGTATGTAAATCCTTAAATATATTCTATAGCTCTGTCCACTGAGAGAACTTGGGAGCAGTAACATCACTAAAGCAATAAATAACAACTAGCACCTAGGCTTACACATAAATACCACTTTCCACCAAAAGGAATCAGGAAGCACTGAAGAAATGACTGATTCCAACCCTGAGATAAAGAACATGCAATGACGACCTGGGAAATCCTGTTCTGCCAAAAAGCAAGAAAGTCCTCAAAGAATGATGGGGACATGCAAAAACATAAAGAAGTTTGAAGGGGCCAAAGAAGGAAAATTTTGAGGATCAAAATAAACAATGACAGTAATAGATTAAAACTCATTGAAGTAAAATTAAAAATCATAAGCCTAATAAATAAAAAGTTATGGATGAATAAATTAAAAGTTGGATGATAGAATACTGACAGTTTCAAAGTATGCCCATAAAAATATGATTACAAAAGAGGAAAAATATAACTTCATAATGGAGAAGTTTGGCAGATATCATCTTAATTAAATGATCAAAGGGAACGTCTTGAGTAATGGGACAAATTAAAACTGTGCTCTACGATAAGATACAATGAGAAGCACATAGTATCCATGATAGTCTTGCCAAAGATGCATAATCTGAATATAATCATGCAACACAGACAAACTCAGATTGAGGACCTTTAATCCTCACAAGTGTCAGGATACAGAAGTCAAGGAAAAGTCAGAAGTATGTAGAAAATTCAGTTAAGATAGACAAAGAAGAATGATTGCATGTTAGAAGTGACTGGTTTGCTTACATCAACAAACAGGAGAAAGAACTACAGTAAAATTTCAAAAGAAAACTGAATTTGTAATTGGCTATTATTACTTTTTTTTTTAAAGGCACAGTTTCCCTCTGTTACCCAGGCTGGAGTACAGTGGCATGATCTTCGCTCACTGTCACCTCCTAGGTTCAAGCCATTCACGGGCCTCAGCCTCCTGAGTAGCTGGGACTACAAGCAAACACCACCACGCTTGGCTAATTTTTGTATTTTTAGTAGAGACGGGGTTTCACCATGTTGGCCAGGCTGGTCTGGAACTCCTGACCTGACCTCGAATGATCCACCCACCTCCCAAAGTGCTGAGATTATAGGCGTGAGCACTGCACGTGGCTTGGTTTGTATTTTTACATTTATGCAACGATAAGGATGAGAAGTTCTTAACCTTTTTTGTGCCACAGTCCCCTTAAAGAGTCTGATGAGGCCTATGAACTCCTCATAGTACTTTTAAATATATAAAACAAAGTAAATATAATTATAAAGGAAATCAATTATATGGAAATACAATTATCAAAATGTTAAAAACATATTTGTGATATAGCAGTATATGTGATTTCTTTAAAATATGTGCTTTTCAATATATATATATGCTTCTTTTAAAAGAGTGAGACCAGTGAAGGGTCTAATCATAACCATGGTTGTGAAGTTCCAGTTAAGTATAAACGATATTTCAGTATATCTAAAACAACAGTAATGTGTCTGTTAACTACATGTTAAGAATACATGAATTAAAACTGAAAAGTGAGATCTGACAATCTTTCTATTCATTTCCTTTCTTGATTACTTTGAAGGGTAGAAATGCAGGTGATTATTATCACATTTAAGAAGAATGGAGTTCCAAGTAATGTTTGCCTCACCTAAAACTGCTATACTGATATATACAACAGTATATAGCAGTAAATTTAAAAATTTGGTGACACATTAATGCCTAACAACAAAAATCATGAAGGTTCTATAAAATGAGACTATCCTTTACCCATATACAAAAAACTATAAAATGTTAATCTCTGGCATTATAATTAAGAATTCTGATTCTAAATTATCTCTGAGCCTATAACTTATCAAATTTGTATATAATAAATTTTAGGAGAAAAAGACTACCTATTTAGAAGTATATTTGGCAGATGTAGTTAAATTTTCAGAGGATTGCTAAATTAGCTTTTTCTAATCTATATAACAAGAAGGACACTAAACAACCATCAGTTGTGTAGACATCAACAAAATCTTTTGGAATATTCCTGAGTCTAAGCCCTCTTTTTTTGGTTGTTGTTGAAATAGAGTCTCCCTCTGTTGCCCAGGCTGGAGTGCAATGGTGAAATCTCAGCTCACTGCAACCTCCACCTCCCAGGTTCAAGCGTTTCTTCTGCCTCAGCCTCCCGAGTAGCTGGGATTATAGGCGCCCTGTACAATGCCCAGCTAATTCTTACATTTTTAGGAGGATGGGGTTTCACTATGTTGGCCAGGCTGTTCTCGAACCCCTGATCTAAGGTGATCCACTGACCTCGGTCTCCCCAAGTGCTGGGATTATAAGTGTGAGTGAGTCACCCCACTCGGCTGTCTAAGCCCTCTTAACTTAGATATTAGCTAAGTACGATATTTCTCACACTGTCCATTTTGGGGCTAAAAGTAAAGCATTACAAGCACTAAAAATACTTGAAATATATTTTTATTAAAATCTCATGCAAATATCAACATTAAAAGAATCAGCAATACAATAATTTGGAACAAATATTAAATGTATTAACTTAATTATATTAATTCTAAACATGGTCTTGCCTGTCAAAATTTCCATGTCCTTGCTATGATAAGCTATTTTAATGAAGTCCAATAATACACTAAAATGTAATAAAAGAATAAACAATTTTCTCCTACCTAGTTACTTTGCAGCTTGATTCAATTAAATCATTTTCAAAGTCAAGCAGGCTGGAAGGCAGATTGTACTCTAGTGGAGACGTTAGTCTTTTCAAACGTAAAAGACCAACACAAAATTTTGCTCCCATCTCTTCCAATTCTCGGGTACCAATCTGTAAACCCTTGAAATAAAGAAATATTATGCATATAATTACAAAGTTTGCTATCTTCTGGCTACATCTCAATGAAATTATATAAAAAGAATGTATAACTATATTAATAAAATTAAAAGGCTGGTACTTTGTATGGAACTAGGACTCAACAAGCTTAACATCTCAACAATACAAGACAGAAGTCACAAAGGAAACTACCCTAAAACACAATTCCTGAAATGTCTATTCCCTTTCACTATAATGCAAATGATTTTCAGCATCACACTAAAGGGAAAAAAATACCTTAACACTTTGTGGTTAATGTTACTTGTAGAATTCATGTGAATTTAAACTATTTAAACCAAAAAGTTGAAAAACAAAAAAATTTTTAAAAAAGAATATGAATTCTACAAGTAACATTACTTGTAGAATGTTAAAATACACTTTTACTGCATTTTAACAAGAGCTTATTAGTACTTCTTGTAATCCACTGCTTTATATGCTGATATTGAAATATTATAGTATTAAAATCAAGGCTCCAATATGAATACTTGAACATTACTTTATAGATACTTCTGTATAATAAGAGACTCTAATCAGTAAAAAACAAATAAAAGGGAACTGTCAAAAAAAAAAAAGAATCAAATCTAAGCCAATGAAGGAGTAGTAAAATAAATTCCTAGCAACCATATCAATTCAAAATGCCCACTTTGAATTTTGTCTACCAAAGAAAAAAGAGTATTTTACCTTAACTTCCCTATCTTTTTTAAAAAACAGTTTCCCAATAAGCAATGTAAGGTTTACCAAAAGTTAAATGTTATCACATAAAACCACAAAAATGGCCTGTAAATTAATATACTCCTTATCATTTATTTTTCAGATATAAATAAATCCCTAAAAAAAAGCAATATTCTTGTACCTATAAAAGTTGTAGGTGTAGATGACAGCTAATATCAATTCAAGAGAAAGCATTTTATAACAGCTTTTCAGTGACCAGACTGAGTTCCTACTGCACACAGTAACTGAAGAAAATGAAATGTAACAACTGTTACTTAACTCTGCATGAAGCATATAACTTTACGGTAATTTTTTTATTTTTCAACTTTTTGGTTTAAATACTTCGGCCATCTCCCAAATATTCTAGGAAACGGGATCTAGCTGACTTCATTAGAACATTAATTTGACCTTTTAATTTGTAAGTTTTAGAAAGATAATACTTGTTTCTGAATTACTTCACAGACAATAAAAATAAAGAATACTTACAGCCTTAAACTCAGTAGGATAAAAATATTGTTGGTAAAAAAGACTGTTACCTAAAATATTACCACATTCACACACTTATCAGTTACCAAGTTTAAGAGATGTCAAGTGTGTGTGAGGAGAATGGGAATATACGAGAGCTCTGTATACTTTCCACTCAATTTTGCTGTGAACCCAAAACTAAAAAATAAAGTCTCTCAAAAATAAAGTCTATTAGGTTTTTTAAAAGTGTATGTTAAGATCAAAACCTTACATTTTAGATATTAAAGGAAAGTCCTGGCTTAGTAAGACACTTCCTTCAGTAAGAGTTTTAAATCAATGTATGCATTATTAACTAAACAGTATCAAAGAAAAATGAATATTTATTAGGTATCCATTTTATTTGTAGAAGTTTTTATATTTATATATTTAAAGAATAACTTTTAAAATGAGCATTTATTAGGTATCTATTTTATTTGTAGTTTATATATTTATATATCAAAAAAACTTTAAAAAGGAGTATTTATTATGTATCCATTTTATTTGTAAAAGTTTATATGTTTATATATTTTTTAAAACTCCAAAAGTGGTTTACCAGTTTATGTTTCAAAATATATCTTAGCTTTTTAAAAATCTTTTTTTTAATAACCAAATTTATCAAAATAAAAATCAAAAAAAATTTTACATTCAATGAAAGTCTATCAGTAGAATCCAAATATAGTGACAAAGCACTACTATTGTATACTATGGATGATTTCAGGGGCATCCAAGTCATCAATGTCCTGAAAGATTTCTTCCCCACTGCTCAGAAGCTAGTTTCAGAGACAGTGATGCTCTGAGTCACCTTCTGCAGCCTAACACATAAATCTTCTCTTTAAGAAGTCATAGTGTGTTTCCATAAATCACAAAGCCCAAGGTTTTTTCCTAGAAATCACCTATATTCTTATAAAAAAGTGATTCTCAAGTTTTTTTTTTTTTGCATCCCACACACTCACTCAATGAGACCCTTAACAACAGTTGTCCACTGAAGCAATGATCAGGGCAAAGGGGTTGGAAGCTGGAGTGGTGCTAATGCCACATTTTATCTCTCAGCACCACCATACCCTTGGTAAACTAACTGGACTGACTAGAAGTCACTGTTTGCACAATATTCAGGGAGATCTCATATTACACTTTAGAAGAAGAAGAACAGTATATTGTGATCAACCTAAAATTGAGGGAAGAGTCAGATCTCATACTTTGTAAGAAGAAGAATAGTATATTGTAATCGACCTAAAATTGAGGGAAGAGTCGCTGAACAGAAAGTACTAGAATTTCCTAAGTTCCACTTTACTACTACTATACTTATTTCAGTAAGTTAGTAGTTACTTTACTTTAGTATCACGTACAAAATCAATGTAATTTTCTTCCAGTTTGTTACAGACTGAAAACGTCATTATTTAAGCTGTCCTAAAATATTTCATGTCAACTATGTTAACTTTTTAAATGCTAACCAGTTACTTGTTTCTTTTCAAACACAAAGTTATAACCATGTTTATGTGAGGTATATAAAAATCATTCTCAGATTCAGTATCCTCCTTCCCCATAAAAAAACAAACAAAATGGAAGGAGTGAAATAATTAGCATGACACCTGAAAATTTATCTGTGCCAAAGCAAGAAATAGAAATACTCAGTTTTGCTCATTGCTTATCTAAAGTACAATTTATTGCACATTGTCTTCAATCTCTAAAATTAATAAATCCAAAATCACCTAACATTTTACAAAGCAAGAAACAGAAATACTCAGTTTTGCTCATTGCTTATCTAAAGTACAATTTATTGCACATTGTCTTCAATCTCTAAAATTAATAAATCCAAAATCACCTAACATTTTACAAAGCAAGAAACAGAAATACTCAGTTTTGCTCATTGCTTATCTAAAGTACAATTTATTGCACATTGTCTTCAATCTCTAAAATTAATAAATCCAAAATCACCTAACATTTTCCTAGTATTTCATTTCAAAAGTAAAGTTTAAATTCTAATTATGTCCATTAAAAGCATACAGTACCACAAATGAGTAGTCTTAGTGAACAAAAAAGTTTACTAAAAAGATATACATTTAAAAGTCACACATAAGGCTGGGTGTGGTGGCTCATGCCTACAATCACTGCACTTTGAGAGGCCAAGGCAGGAGGACTGCCTGAGGCCAGGAGTTTGAGACCAGTCTGGGCAATACAGTGAGATCCTGTCTCTATTTTTATTTTTCAAAATATAAACGAATACATAAATAAAAGCTACACATACAAAAACCTAAATATAACAGATCAGCTGCCTTATAAATAAGTATAATGTGTTTATTTTAAATGCATAAAAATATATTTATACCCAATAAATTAAAATAGAAAGCTTTTGTTAATAATGTACCAGTTGTACATTACTATTATAGTAATTTATAGTATTATACTATTATAGTAATTTATAGTATTATAAATTACTAATGAGTAAGTGTGTACTATAATGTGCTTTCTTAAAAAAATATGACTATAAACAGACTCAACCAAGAATTTCTTTTTTTTTTTTAAGAAATTTTTGTTTGTGGATCTGACAAAATCTAGATCTCTAGTATTTTTTTTTTGAAAGAAAGAAAAAAAAAGAGTGAAGGGGAGGAAGAAAGAGGATTTAAGAATTTCTTAAGGATCCAAGCAAGCTATTTAGTTCAGAGAAGTAAAGAAACCAACAACAACAACAAAAAAAACCTATTCTTAAGATTGTATATGATTCCATTATTACGAATTACATGTAACTCAATAAAACAAACACCATTTAATATATACTTTAAAACCACAAGATATAAATGAAAGGGAAGTCTTCAAATATATTTCATAGTTAGAAAACCTGCGATATTTTACCTTGTATTTTCCCTGATCACAGCCACATAAAGTACTCTCCATGGTATAACTTCTTTGTACTCCTATTTCCCTCCAAACTACAACACGTGCTGTGGATTCTTTAGATTTTTCCACTACGAAGCTACAGCTGCTCATGCAAAATGCTGGGGCAATATGGCTTAGTATCTTAGGCAATGTCTGTTAAAAACAAGAATAATGATGATAAAATAAACCAAGAGGTCATTTTTAATTTTAAATGTTTTTCATTTTTAAAAGTTTTGATGAAAACACAGTAATTAGAGCAAAGCCATGTGGATGTTCTATTATATATCCCTTGCCATTGAAACAGCAAAACATGCCTCTTAACTAATTCTGAATTTTCTGCTTTTCTAAACAAACATAGTATCCAGTTAGAAAACATAATGGAGGAATCATATTCACAGTATAAATAAGCAAAATAAAATCATGTCTAAAACATGTCTAAAAATTGAAAAAAAAGCTCAAAATGTGAAATTTAGTCATAAAAGACTTATTGAGATATTTAACACTGTAAATGCCAATCATTCCTAAATTAATTAATAAAGCTAGACAATCACAATCAAAACTACCCCCAAGTTTTCTGCAACTGAAATTATTCTCAATTTCACCTGAAAGCATAAATATAGAGGTACACCCTGAGAAACTGGAGTGGGGGAAGAGGCTATTACTGGAGAAATAATCCCACATATCAAACTAGCTTACAGATGTAAAATAAGTTAAATTGTGTTACTGATAAAGGAACAGATACATCTCTAGAAAGAAAGAGAGCTCAGAATTAGAACCAAATGCATTAAACTTATTATCATCATTATTATTAGTGGAGAAAAGATTGATCATTCATTAAATATTGACACAACTGGATAGCCATTAAGAAAAAAAACAGCAAAGAAAAGAAAAACAATCTAAAGTCACTCTTCATTAAATTCTAGATGGATTGAGAATATAAATTCAAAATTAATAAATACTTTTAAATGAAACTAGAAATAGTAAAACATGGAACTGTACTTTTAAAACTTTAGAATGAATAAAATCTTTCTAAAGCCTCAAAATCCCCAAAAACAATTTATGAAATTAACAAATACGATAAAACTTTAAATTACTACACATCATAAAAAATTAGAAAATATATTTGTAATCTATAGAGAGAGTTCTGTTTTTGGAGACGGAGTTTCGCTCTTGTTGCCCAGGCTGGAGTGCAATGGTACAATCTTGGCTCACCACAACCTCTGCCTCTCAGGCTCAAGCGATTCTATTGTCTCAGCCTCCCGAATAGCCGGGACTACAGAAATGCACCATCACACCCGGCTAATTTTGTATTTTTAGTAGAGACAGGGTTTCTTCATGTTGGTCAGGTTGGTCTCAAACCCTCGACCTCAGGTGATTCACCCGCCTTGACCTCCCAAAGTGTTGGGATTACAGGTGTGAGCCACCACACCTGGCCTACAGAGTTCTTATTTAAAAAACACTAACAATTTTATGACCTGCACAAAAGTAAGTAGAAAATATGAGAAAAGGCTACTTTAAAAGACAGAGATTATAACTGGCCAAAACACAGGAAAACTCAAACTTATTTATAATTATAGGTATGATGGTTAACAATCAGATATTATTTTCACCTGGCAAAGATGACAGTACAATGTAATAAGGGTGTGAAAAAACAGTACTAGCATTCATGGTATTTGGTAGTATCAATTTTTACAATCTTTATGAAAGATAATTTGGCAATACTTATTAAATGACTACCAACATAGACTACTAAGTAAGTAAATTTTGGTACAGTCTACAAAAATACATAATGGAAATCTTTGCCTGACTGTTTAAAAGACTGAGATAGATTCAGACAGGATAATCTGAAAAGATGATCAATAAATATTATCATGGGAAAAAGCAAGTTGTTGTGTACTGTTTAAAAAATAAAAATAAAAAGACAAAAACTGCATATACTACATGCATATCTATATGGATGTGTTCGAGGCAAGTCTTACAATATACACGGTAAAACTGTCAAGTGTTAAGATAATGACTAGCAAAAGATGACTTTCACTTACTACTTTATATCTGGAGTGTTTCCATTTTATATATAATTCTAATCATTTTATTTATTTGAGAAAAGGGAAGGAGAGAGAGGGCACCCAAAAAGAAAATGTGCTTTGAAACTCTTCTAAGAGCAGCAGGTTACCAAAAATGTTTTTTGGAAAATAACCTAGGGCACTTGTTTAGGCATAACTGTAGGAATAGAGAGAGGCACCGTGACAGAATGGAAAGCACACAGGACTTAAAGCAACAAAGCTCATTTCAGTCCTAGGCACATCAAATTTTGGCCAAGGCCTCAAGCATGTCAACTGACTCAGATGTCTTAGTGGACTTATTTGTACAGTAGCAATGATAATCCCTATCTACATCACAGAGCATGTGAGGCTCACACGGAAAATTCCTATGAAACTATACTAAAAGTTATAAGCACAATATAAATACGGTAATATAATTATTAGATGTTTGTCTATATTTATAATTAATTCATCCATCCATTCAACAAATATTTACTTAATGCCCAAGAAGAATCAGGAATACTTAGTCAAAGAAATAAACAAAAGCCCTAATTTACATTATTGTTAGTCATCTCATTCAGGAATGATGATCTACTATCCATAATATTTAGCAATATTAAAAGGTACTGAAAAAGCTAATAGTTTTATTGAAGCTAAATCACACATTTCCGTAGCATCACATGCTATGATGTTCACCTTACTGGAAGGATGCTATGATGTTCCCCTTATTGAAAGTAAATATATGATTTAACTTCCATTTTTAAAAAATCCATTATGTTTCAAAATCCAAAACTTTTCACATGTCAACACAATGCTCAAAGGAAATGCTAGTTGGAGCATTCTGGATTTCAGATTTTGGAATTAGGAATGCTCAAACCAGCAAGTATGATATAAATATTCCAAGAAACAAAGAAAAATTCTGAAATCTGAAACACTTATAGTCCCAAGCATTTTAGATAAGGGACACTCAACCTGCAATAATCAATATTTTTGTAAACTTTTTATTTCAAGCTAATTTTAAACTTAGAGAAAAGTTGCAAAAACAGTACAAAGAATTTTCATTTTTCTGTCAACCTGAATGTTAATATCTTAACCACAGTTCAGTATCAGAATAAAAAATTAGAATTGATGCAATACTATTGATAGATCTCATTCAAATAGGTCTATCAATATGTCATCAGTTCTTCTAATGCCTTGTTTCAGGATCCCATCCAGAATCTCACATTGTATCTAGTTGTTTCTCTTTAGTCTCCTGCCTTCTCTAACAGTTCCTTTGTCCTTCCATAACTTTTAGAATCTTGATACTTTTGAAGAGCATTGATTAGTTATGTTTTCAAATGACACTCAATTTAGGCCAGCCGCCATGGTTCACGCCTGTAATCCCAGAACTTTGGGAGGCCATGGCAGGTGGATCATTTGATGTCAGGAGTTCAAGACAAGCCTGGCCAACACGGTAAAACTCCATCTCTACTAAAAATACAAAAAAAAACTAGCTGGGGGTGGTGGCAGGTGCCTGTAATCCCAGCTACTCGGGAGGCTAAAGCAGGACGATCACTTGAACCCAGGAGATGAAGGCTGCAGTGAGCCAACATCAATTGTGCCACTGCACTCCAGCCTGGGTGATGGAGTGAGACGCTGTCTCAAACAAACAAACAAAAACACTCCATTTATATGCCACAATTTTTTTGTATTTTCCCCTAAAACATAAACATTTGCACTAAGCAGTGCTATGATTTATCATCAGAAACATAGTATTTATGTGTATTAGCCCATCCCTTCCCAACCTATCTGCAAAAAAAAAAGGGTTCTATGGTATGGCAGTCGCCATAAAAAATGTCTCAATCCCCAGAATCTAGGAATATGTTATTTTACATGGCAAAGGGGCTGTCTAGATGTGATTCAGTTAAGATTCTGAGATAGTAAGATTATCCTGGATTATGTTAGTGGCCCTTGCCATCACAGGAGCTCTCATAAAGAGAAGAGGAAGGCAGCAGCAAGAGAGAAAGATGTGACAATGGAAGCAGAGGTCAGATTTGACTCCTGGCTGAAAGGGACCATGATGCAAGAAACACAGACATACTAGGGCTGTGGAGAGGAACAACGAAACAATTCTACCAGAGCCTCAAAAAATAGTGTAGTCCTGATGACATTTTGATTTTAACTCAGTGAGCCCTGCATTGGATTTCTGATGGGCAGAACTGTAGTTTTGCTATGTTTCTGGTAGTTTGCTATACAACAGCAATAGAAACTAACATGATTATAAAATTAAGGGAAATACTCCACTTTCACACACACACACCCCTGAAAATGTAAGATGCTTATTAGCATGTGAAGATTCTGAGGTGTCCTAAAAAAAAGAAACAAAGTTAGCTGTATCTAATGCAATTACTAAATGTAAGTGATTATACAACTATTGGTGAGGGGAGGTGTATGTAAAACAGCTGTTAACATCTTGAGAAATGATATTTGGGGAAAAGTGGATTATTTACTCTAATTACAGCATCACCTTATGTTTCCTTTCACAACAAAATTCAAAAAAATTCATTAAAGAAATTTGGGACAAGATAATTTTAATGAAAAAAACAGACCACACCGTTAATTTTATCTCTTACAATGGGAAAAATGTCTTGCATTTACCTTCCCACGTCTGTCTGCTATTCATCCATCAACCCACCTAACAACAAATACCTATTGAGTACTTATTATGAATAAGGTATTGTGCTATATAGTGGCAATATTGACAAAATGAGCAAATCAGACATATTTGCTAGGCATATGGAGTTTACTACCTAGTACAAAGAGAACCCCATTAATCAAATAACATAGAAAATCTTACAATTATAATTCTTAAGTGGTAAAAGGATAGATAATCCTATAGATGTATGATCTGATTTCATTTTGGGGCCTAAGTGAGAACTCCTTGAAGTGAAGTATGACACAAGCAAAAACGACCAGGTGAGGCAATGGTGGCAATGATGGCGCTGTTCCAGAGAGAGTCTATGGGAAGGCTCTGTGCATGTGCTCTTCATCTAGCTTTCTCCCATTCTCTGGGCCTCTCGCTAGTCTCATTTTCTTACATTTATTTATCTGGATCTCGACTAAATAGTCCCCTTCACTGTATCACTGAGCTGTGCTAATCTACTTGGTTTCCTTTATTTAGTGCAGTCTAACCTAATAAAACTCTATTTCTGAAGGTTGTATGGCAGGAACACTTGTTGACTGTTGACATGTTGGGCATTTTACATACATTATTGGGGTCTTCCCCCATCTTTATCCTGGGCTTTGTCTCTCTCTTGAACTTAATTTCTGTATGCCTTCCTCTTTCATATATTCCTTTATTTTGGTAAGAATGTCTTCCAGAAGCTTCCAAAGAAAGGCTATTTGTGAGGTAAATTTTTGAGACTTTAAATGTCTGAGAACATCCTTTTTTATTTTCACACTTACTGACAGAATGAAGTATGAAATTTATAGGTTGGAAATCTAGTTGAGAATTGTGAAGATTTGCACCACAAAGTTTTGCTTCCAGTGTTGCCACTGTGAAATGTGATGCCATTCTTATATGTAATCCTCTGTAGAAGAATCTGAAAAATGTGTAGAAATCTTTTCTGAAAAAAAAAAAATCAATAGCTTTTCTATGTACCAACAATGATCAATTAGGGGCAGGCAGATATGTGGGGAAAAATTCCATTCCAAACTCTAATAGAATTCATAAAGTATTTGGGAATAAATCTAACAAACATTTCACACCTATGTGAAAAAATTTTATACTTTATTAAATATAAGACTTGACTAGACACATAGGCAGTAGTCACAGATGACAATGTTATATATCATTATAATAATTCCAACTTTAGATTCAAGGCAGCTCTAATGCAAATTCCAAAAAAGTTTATCCACAAACGGATCCTAAAATTCACAAGTACAGAGAAAAAAAGAGTCAAACAATTTTTAAAAGAATAAGAAAGGAAAATTTGCCCTACAATATATCAACATTAATTATAAATCTACAGTAATTTTAAAAATGTTGTTTGCAAAGAGACAGAAACAAGAATGGCTAAAATAATAGCCTCGCCATACACCCATATATGTGAAATAAGGTATGTAACAGATGGCATCATCAAATTGACAGAGGAAGAGATACTATCCAGTTAATGGTGCAAGCCAACTGGTATTCATAGAGAAAACAGAATTAGATCCCCACATCTCACACAAAGATGAATTCCAAGTAGATGAAAAATATGAACATGAAAAACTTTTAAAATGAAAAATCTGAAACAAAAATGGCAAAATGTCAACATTTACTGAATCTGAGTAGTTCATATATGTTAATATATGTATTTTCTATACTTTTATGCATGTTTAAAATTCAAAAAGTCATGAATGATCTATAATAATTACCCTGTATCCCGTATCTTCCACAACATCACATGAAGTTGCATTATCATTGGTACGCCACACTGTCTCCTTGATGCTGCAACCATACATAAATACATTCTTCTTTCGGGAATGGCCATGATAATCACAATAAACCTTGAAAATACGTGTTTTAAAAATTAAAAGACTTCCTTATATTACTAAGTCAAGGTAGTTAATATCAAGCCAATAAACATGTAGGTCTGTGTTCCTTGGTCTTTTTATTGTAAATAAACATGTCTTTTATTTTTTATTTTTTTAAAAATGATACTCTTAAAAATTAAATTAAAACCATACCCTTCTTTACGGTGTTTTTTAATAAATAAGGGCATTTTCTTGTTTTTTTTTTTTTTTTCTGTTGTGGTTTTTAAATTTCTTTTGTTGTTGTTTCTTGTAAAAGAGCCACCATTTAACAATTATGACCAATAAAAGTGATAATGCCTATTAATGCCTAGTTTGGGAAAGGATCTATAATTAATTCTAGAATTGCCAAATCCTTTAAAGGTCCTATATCACCTTTGTATTTACTATTCACCATTTTAAAAATAATACATTTCATTATAGTTCAAATCTACAGCTGTGGTGACTGCTGCCCCAAATGGTTATAAAAACATTTACCTAATTTAGTCTGGAGCAGTGCCTCACGCCTGTAATCCCAACACTTTGGGAGGCCAAGGTGGGTGGATCACCAGAAGTTAGGAGCTCAATGCCAGCCTGACCAACATGGCAAAACCCCATCTATACTAAAAATATAAAAATTAGCCAGGAGTGGTTGTGGGTGCCTGTAATTCCAGCTACTTGGGAGACGGAGGCAAGAGAATAGCTTGACCCTGGGAGGTGGAGGCCAAGGTGGGTGGATCACCAGAAGTTAGGAGTTCAATGCCAGCCTGACCAACATGGCAAAACCCCATCTATACTAAAAATATAAAAATTAGCCAGGAGTGGTTGTGGGTGCCTGTAATTCCAGCTACTTGGGAGACGGAGGCAAGAGAATAGCTTGACCCTGGGAGGTGTAGGTTGCAGTGAGCCGAGATCATGCCAATGCACTCCAATCTGGGCAACAAGAGCAAAAATTTGTCTCAAAAAAAATTTTTTTGATTTAAAAGCGAATAATAACAACAACAACAACAACAACAACAACAAAAACTAGAAAATGCTCTTATTTATTAAAAAACACCATAAAGAAGGGTATGGCTTTAAGAGCATCATTTTTAAAAAAATAAAAACTAAAAGACATGTCAATTTTACTCCTCTGCAAAGCCTTTCTTTCTTAAAGAAAGATTAAATAATATACATACTAATATCATGAAAACATCCTAATCAAAAGCTGGTGAGAACAGAAAAAGCATATGTATATAGTTCAGTTCAGTCATGCCTGTACTACATTTCCCATTTGTGTAGTAGAGATTTAACAGCTTCAGAGCTGACTAGAAAACTCAGAATAAGCTCCTAGTTTGAGAATTTGAAGATACATATTGTTACCTTAGTGTTGTTCAAGCAGTGAAATTAAGTATCTAAAACCAAGAGTTATCAATATTCATAACCAAAAAAGAAAAGTAAAAGGCTTATATAAGAGAATTATAAACATTCACCCTTGTAAAATTAAGAATACAAACATTAATGGATGAATCTGACCCCACGATTATTACACAAGTACTTGATAACAAAAAATGACATTTTATCTTTGACTATACCAAGTAAAAACAAGTAATGCTACTTACCAAAGGTAAACGCTTCACTGCAGCCAGGTATTGCAACAGCCCCTTAGCATGGTAAATCGTAGGATGTAAATCTGGATTTGGACTTTGCCACTGCCTATTTAAATCCTCTCCACTTAAAGAACAGCGATGACTACATGTACATAAACACAAAAACAGAAAAACACTGGTACCAATAAACCCTTACATGCATTTCTGATTTAACTTTATGATTCTATTCCACTAAGCATTTCAAATAGGTATAGATAGTAAGCTCAACCAAATGCATAAGATATTCATTAGCTAAACATTTATTGAGTGTTTGCTATGTGCAAGATTTTGTGTCACATTAATTTAACTGTGGTACGTTTTCAGATTCATAATCAAAATTTTCAAAATATGGGAAAAAATCTTAATTCTGACTACATAATAATCATTTGCTTTGTTAGCATGCTGTATCTTGACTTCATCAGTTAAAGTGCTACCTAAATGTTCCTTCTGAGAAAGACAAGTATATGAAAAGTATACATTGTTGTAAAATATCAAATACTTTTTTGTTTATTTATGGGTACTAAGTAGGAAAAATATCATGCAAATAAATTATTTAGGCAAATAATCATAAAGGGATGACAAATTATAAACAGAATTCTAACAGTCAATATATTCTCAATTAAAAATAGACATCATTTTAGTTCCATAACATAACATATTAACTAAGAAGAAATTGTTTTTTAAAAAAAAATCAATAATTTTCTAATACGAGAAATATTCATGCTACTTCTACTGAAGTAAGACATGTTATCCTCATCTTTGGAGATACTCACGACAACTAGACTAAATCCCATCTTTCAGAGCAGCACTACAGAGACCTTGTCAAATTACCAGAATAAATTTACTCAACTAACTATAATGCAGCCTCCTCTTACAATGTAAATATCTTCCACCATCTCCCCTCTGAAGAACTGTCAGAAACTAGACCTCCTCATATTAGGAAGAGGTTAGCAGATGGGGCTAACATTCCAGGAGATCCCAGAAGAGTGTTAATCATAAAACAATCTAACTTCATGCCACTAACAAAAAAGAAAGGAATATGAGAGGTATGAGTTCATCTTTCTTATAACCTGACACTGTGATTTTTCTAAAACAATTCAGGCATTTTATGAAAGCATATTCTCATGGATACAGAATTTCTCATCATTTCATACTGTTATTAGTATCCAAAATATATATTCATTTAAAAGTTTATCTTAGATGAATTTCCCACCAAAAATTTCTTTATTCTAGAAAAATCACTAAATTTGTTAACCTGGACACTGTTATTACAGTAAGTTTATACAGGACAACCACAATGATCTATAATATATTCTATAACTATTGCTTAACTTACTTTCCATTGATGACACCATCTGGATTTAGCATAGGGACGATTTTAAAAATATACGATTCTCGTAAGCTCTGAGCAGTAGGGTTATTGCTCATGAGATATTCCAACGTTCCTTTCATAACCCAACTTGCATTAGTTTCTCCAGGATGCACCCGAGCAGATAAGAAAACATAAGGGCGATTTCCTAAAGTACACATAAAATCTCAAATTAAAATGAACAGCTACTAAAAGTTTGTATATTTTACTTTGGGGCTTTAGAAATGTCTCTAACTCAATTGTGAATTCTGATATAAATTAATAGAACTCAATGGTGCATCCTACAAGCACTGCACTAGGCTCTATAAAAGAAACAAATATAAAATCAATAAAACCATATCCCGAAGGAGCTAATAGGACATAAAACAGTAAGTAGTATGTGATCCACTTATTTATTTCCCAATGACTAATTTAACATGTAAAATTAGTTACTTAATGTCATGTTGATTTTATAAAGAACAAGTACTTGGGGGAAGTTTAAAATATAAAACCATTTTTCATAAAATCATGGGGAAAAGAAAGAAAATATAATTTTAGCTCTGTCTTATAGTTGCTCTGATAAGCATAGAGAAAAAAGTGTATCTGCTCAGCAATTTACACCCCCAAAATTTCACTAAACATTTAGATATACAAGTCTAGTGAAATAATCATTCAGCTCATCACTCATATTTTCATACATAATATGCTCCTTCTGTTTCCTGAAAATACTCTGCCTTCTTATCAAAATTGGAACAGTTTTATTTTTATTACTACAGCTGTACATTTGAGGCAATTCAAAAAATATAAATGGCAGGGGAGAATGAGTAGCTATTCAGTGCTATCTATCAAAACAACTGATAGGTTTCTGGTTGTTTTATTTACAAGTAAAATCAGTCCATTTCTAAACTGATAGTGTTACTACATGGCCTCTTAAAATAATTTGTTGTGTTCTACTTTGAATACAATTTCTAAGGGTAAGAACTAAATGACAGTAGTAGCAAAAGAGATCTCAGAGAACATCTCATGTAGCCCCTTATTTTCAGGATACAAAAATTGAGGCCCAGAGGTAGGCCCATGGCTGGACAATAACAGGGCCAAGACTAGAGCCCAAGTCCTCTGATGTCTGTTCCTATTATTATTTCCATTATAAAATAGAGAGAAAGCAAATCAAAGTAGGTGAGAATGACTGCTATTGTGAGTAAGGAAGACAGACTTACTGAACTGACAGAGATGTTCATAATAATTAGACTCTGGCATTGCTGTTATAGTCACCAAGGGGCAAGTGTTTCCAGACAGGGTTTCACATAACACATCTTTCCGAAAATAGATTTGCTGAGGATTGTGTGCTGATTCCAATTTTTGAAGATGCATCTTGATAAAAATTTTAAAACAAAGTATACAATCACTTAAGAAGTCCTGATGATATACAGAAATAATGCATCCAGATCTCCACATAACTAGAATTGAATCAGATTCTTAACCCCTTATCCAAAACCCTCAGGGCCAGATGTAATCTAAACATCATTGTTTGGGAAACCCGAGAAAGGCAATACATTGTTTAAGTCATTAATTATGCAGCACCACCAACGGGGTCAGGGTAGCAATCTGTAATACAAACATTATTTGTGCAGCAATACATATGAAGAATCACCCTAAGTGGAATCAATATTCTAAATAAACTCAAGTCAGACTTTGCCTCCAAATGAGTTCCAAAAAACCTTTTGGCTTTCAAAGCCTTCTGAATTTTGGAATTTTAAGTGATTGTAGACCTGTAACAGCAACAATCTAAAACTTGAAGAATAAAAATTATGTAGCACAAGTTTTAACAATTTATTTTCCTGATTTCAAGATTAATATGGGTTTATTGTAAAAAGTCTCAAAGAAAAAAATTTAATGTTTTAAAGATTTAAAACTTCCATAATTGCACTGCCTGTATTACTAACACAATGTATATAAGCAAAACCATAATTACATAAAGACTTTTATAATCTGATTTTATCACTTAAAAATTTATACATTCACACAAACACATATATATATATATATATATATATTTGTAATTATGAATACTATACCACATCATTAAACATGTTAAAATGTGTATTTTTTGAAAACACAAATTTTAATGGTCATATTATATGGCTAGACCAAAAATAAATTGTTCAATCCCTTATTTTTAGATATTTACTTGGTTTTCAAACTTTTGCCTATGTGCATTCACATCATCATGATTGACTGAGTGGTCACCATTTTCCAGAAACTGTGCAGGGCACTGGAATATAACAATGAATAAATGAACCCCACCCTAGGGAAAACAGAGAGCGCTGTGAGAGCCCGTAATAAGAGGAGGGGAGCCTAGCCAAGTCTGGGCAGTGAGGAAAGATCTTCTAGAGAAAACTACATTTAAACTAAAATCCAAAGGATGAGTGAAGAAGACACGGAGATGAGTACTACAGGCAGAAGGAAAAATATTAAGAAGACCACAAGACAGAACAGGGCATTTCAAAGAATTCTGTAAGATTCATTATAGCTACAAAGGTGAGAAACAAAAAATCTGTCACAGAATGAAGGGCCTGGTAGGCAGGTCTTCCCCAAAGCATAGTATACATACAACTGGTAATTGAGATAACTAAGTGATATGTAGATAACCATTTTAAAAGTTTAATAGGTATATGTTTTAGGTGAATTAAAAAAAAGTCTAGTACATTTAACTTTTCATGGATTTCACAGATACTAACTGAGAATTAGGATACAATTTAAATGATTTCATGGATTAATTGAGGATGAGGACAAACTTTAAAGTGTAATCTATTTTAAAGTCTATTTAAAGATAAATAAATAATAGTTCAAATAGTACGTGGATATGGCAAAAGAAAACAAAGTGAAGGGGCATTAGTAGAGAAAGAACAGGGTGAACCATCATAAGAATTTTAGAATTCAAACAAAGGGCAAGAGAAATCACTAAGTTTTAAGCAAGGTATTTTATTACAAGATTAGCTATAAAAGAGCCCTATGGCTATAGTCTGGGTGGTGGGGGAGTAACTAATGAAGAGCAAAGGAGGCAAAACTGAATCATAGAACACCAGTTACAAAAAGGTTGGCAGAAGGCCATGTGAGAAACAATGGTCGTTCTCGAAAAACATCATGCTACAGGGATTGAAAGACAGCAGAATTTAAAATACATTAAAAGGCACGATCAGTAAAGAACAATAACATAAAACCAAGCAAATATAAATAGTAAAAACATATCTGTATGTGCATTCTTATTTGTTTTCTTAGGAAAAATTACCCAAAAGTAGAACTACTAAGTTGGCACAGAAAGATACATGAACACTGTACCTTTATGGTAAGTTATAACTTTCATTAAAGTACAGTAAGGCTCATTTAATGTTGTCAGCCTCATTTAGTATTCTTAAGGGTTTGATATCTCTTCTGCTCTATGGACTATTTTCTTTCATGTTCTCCTCTCTAATAATTTGGGAGCTTGTTTCTAATTATAGTGTTCCAATTTCTTTATTGGTAAACTGACCACACATTCATGATCCTTGACCATTAGAATAGACATTCTGTTCTGAGAATAAATCTATCACAGTTGATATTTAATTATTGAAATTTCTTTGTTCTGTTTTACATTGAAAATATTCAAAATCTCAAAAGGTCTCACACAAAATAACTCTTATGCCCCAGATTTTTAGAAATCTGGATCTAGGTCTCCATAATGAAACCATTTCTTTCAGAAAAAGATCTCAATTTTTCCTTCAGAAAAACTCAAATTGCATCCACATTTTTCTAATATTCTATTTTCTATGAGATTCTGGTTAAACATGCAGAAATCTCACCTTGTTAAAATTTGTAAATCACGGAATCTTAGCTTAGAGAACTGTGGATGTCAACAAAAGATGAGAAATAAAAATCATGTCAAAGTTCCTTAATATTTCTATTAAAAAAAAACACATTCTCATTTTACTCCTCAAGAAATTTCCAAAATCTTCAACACTAAACCCTTTTCTTATGATATTTAACTAAATTTTCCTATTAGGATATTTAAACTCAATTATTATCATTATCCTTAAGTTAGAATATTTAATTAAATTCAATTTTCTTCCATTATCTTACACATATCCATCTAATACAATTTAATTTACAGTTCTTACCTGTAAAGTTGAATATGTATATGGATAGTGATAAGCGAAGTAGCAAACATCATCTTTATGTGGAAAATTGACAGTAAATGTAATTGTATAGTAAGATTTTCCCTTTTGCCCACCTGCGGCAACTGAACTTCTTGAGAAATGATTTCTGCAGTAAAAAAGCATGAAACATTTTTATTTCATCCATACAAAAACTGACTTTCCTTGCTACTTTTATTAAATAGAACTTCAGGAAAAAAAAAGAAAAACCCAAGTCTGTAAAAAGCTTACCTTAAATATCCTATTTAAGAAAAAAGTACTAATAAAGCAGTTGACTATTATTAGTCAATCACATTATATTACTTTTCACTTACAAATTTACTAATTAAATGATCTAATACTGTTTACATCAAAAAAAATTTTTAGAACCCCATTCTTTGACATCCATATACATTACTGGATCTAGAAGATGATCATCAATGGCTGCTACAATCAGGAGATGAAAGGCTGGTGGACACCTTTAAATGGATCAGGCTACAAGACCTGAGTTCACTAATCAATCTTAAGACTACAAAAAGAGAAACAATCAGAAATGATGTTTCATTGTACCACCTATTAAGTATTCTTGCCAAAAATCAAACCTGAAGTTGATCAAGCTTCTAAATCTAATTACCAGTTTATAGGAAATTGGAGAGACAGAAATACTTAACACCACAGGAGAGCAATCCAATAAAATCCAAATGTGAAAAACCCTACATGACAATCCAGCTTTAGCGAATGAGTGAGAAATTTTTAAAAAAGAGAGAAAAGAAAAGGGAAGCCTATAAATTAACAGAGACTTAAGAGACATGTCAACAAAAATCAAATGCAATGTGTGATCCCTGGCTGGATTTTGATTAAATAAAACCATAAAACAACATTTAGAGGCAATTGGAGAAGTCTGAACATTGGATCTTTCATCACAGTAAGAAATTTTTTTAATTTTTCTGTGTTACAATAATGGCATTGTGGTTAGACTGTCTTAAAAGACCTTTGTCTTTTAGAAATACATATGTTAAATATGTATGACTAAAATATAATATCTGAAAATGGCCTTCAAAATTCATTGTGGAAGTAGGAGTGAAAGTATAGCTAAAACAAAACTCACCATGTGTTGAAACTGGGTGATGAATATAGGGGCCTCATTATCTTATGCTATGTTTTTGTAAATGTTTGAAGATTTCCATAATAAAGTTTTAAAAACTACACATTACTCTCTAGAATCTAAATATTGCTGACATATGCTGACTTAAAGACGCTCTATCAACTTAATTTCTAAAATTCTGAATCATCTTGTATTATTTAAGCCACGAAATGAAGAAAACCCAGGGCCTATAGGTTATTTTTTCATGCACATAAAAGTTCAAAGTATTTTCAAATTGATATAGTCTTCATTAATTTATTCACAGTATCTTGAATAGATACCCAATAACAGAGTGCTAAGGATTAACAAAAATGAAAAACAAGTTCAAAAACTAGTCCTTGCCAACTCTTTTCCCTCAAAAGCTTAACATTTAATTGGAGAGGTATTTATATAACATTATAGCTATCTGGCAGTTTCTAGGTTATAAACTAGTTAAACATACATTATCTCATATAATGGTGAAAAGCAGTTTTATTCTATTTAATAGATAAGACAAGCATCACAGGACTTGGCTGACAGGAAAAGTTAAGGCACAATGCAAAAGCAGACTTTAATCCTTATCACCTAAATTTCAGGGCCAGCACTTTTGTTCATGCCTGTAATCCCAGCACTTTGGGAAGCTGAGGCAGGTGGATCGCAACATGGTGAAAACCCAGCCTCTACAAATGACGAAATTAGCCAGTTCTCAACTGTAGTCCCAGTTACTCAGGAAGCTGAGGTGGGAGAATCACTTCAGCCTGGGAATGATGACATGCTCTTGAGGCTGCAGTGAGCTAGGATTGCACCATTGCTCTCCAGCCTGGGCACCAGAGCAAGACTGTGTTTCAAAAAAAAAAATACGAAAATTAAAATAAATAAATCTATCTCAGTCTTCAGGAAAACAACTAGAATAGAGTCTTACATAGAAAGTGGCTAATAAGGCTGGGCGCAGTGGCTCATGCTTGTAATCCCAGCAGTTTGAGAGGCCAACGTGGGCGGATCACAAGGTCAAGAGATCGAGATCATCCTGGCCAACACAGTGAAACCCTGTCTCTACAAAAAATACAAAAAGTAGCTGGGCATGGTGGCGCATGCCTGTAGTCCCAGACACTCAGAAGGCAGAGGCAGGAGAATCACTTGAACCCAGGAGGCTGAGGTTGTGCACAGTGAACGGAGATCGCACCACTGCACTCCACCCTGGCAACAGAGCAAGACTCCATCTCAAGAAAAAAAAAGAAAGAAAGAAAGTGGTTAATAAATGTTTGTTGAGTTGAACTCTGCTTCCAGATCAGGAAGTAGTAGCCAAAGGAAACTAAACTAAAAAAAATAAAATCCTTGCCATCACCCCTTACATAGACTAGAACAACTTGTCCTGCTATAATCATTCATTTTGCAATGTGAAAAAGCATTCACTGATTGACAATTTCTAATGAGAAAAAATAAAAAAGCATGAAAGAAAGAATACTTTTTTGAAAAACATTGTTTCACTCTTTAATAGTCTAAATAATTCTGCTAAAATCTAGGAAGCACTGCCCAATAATTACAGCTTCAACCAACGTTATGAGAGAGAGACAAGTGATCAAAGAGTAGTTTTCTATTAGTCTACCATTAAAAGAAATACAAGATGTATTATGGTGCAGATGAATTACGTATTACCTTTACTTCTGTTTCTCATTTATTTGCTATTTATTTCACTAATAAGAGTAAGGAGGAAAAAAAAAAAAAAAAAGAGTAAGGAGGAAATCTTACTGAGATGGATCCCAAGGAACATTTTCTTTCCCAGAAAGTAACACTACTTAAGACCAAGTTTTTTCCAAAGCCATGTCAAAACAGTTTAATTTTAGAAGCCTTCTTCTAATTGGTAAAGCTAAAAAAGAGGGGCATTAGTGCCAGTTAAGCACAATCTAAAAAGTCAAAATTCACTATACAGAAAGTTAGGATTGAAATCAATAACAGAGAAGATACAGGGGTGCCAAGCGGAATCAACAGTGAACATTACCTGAAAACATTTGCAGACACAGTGTAAAATGGAAAAGCAAGACACATGAGAATCCTCAAGTATTTAAAGGTGGAGCTGAAGAATAAACAAACTATTCCACAGAAGTAAATGATTTCTAGCACTTAGTATTATTTATTTATTTATTTTTGAGGTGGAGTCTTGCTCTATCACCCAGGCTGGAGTGCAGTGGCACAATCTTGGCTCACTGCAACCTCCACATCCTCAGTTCAAGCTATTCTCTTGCCTTAGCCTCTTGAGTAGCTGTGATTACGGGTGTGCACCACAGTGCCTGGTTAATTCTTGTATTTTTAGTAGAGATAGGGTTTCACCATGCTGGCCAGGTTGGTTTCAAACTCCTGACCTCAGGTGATTCACCCACCTCAGCCTCCCAAAGTGCTGAGATCACAGGCGTGAGCCACCAAACCCGGGCTCTAGCACTTATTTCAAACTCACTAAGTAGATCATGTATTTACAGTCAAAGATGAACCATGTAAGCTGATGTACTGTATTTGGAACACATTTTGGAAATTAAAATGAGGCAAACATTTGTGTATTAATATAAAAAGGGAAAAAATAAGAGTTATACTTGATATCATAGGAAACATAAAAAGCCACTGCAAATTATTACTCATAATTTCTAATTTCAGTTTTATTCAATAGTTTCCAGAGTTTTAAAGCTGGAAAAGCTGCGGACACATAACTCTCTAAGTGGTGGAGACACAGCCTGGACCTAAGTTTGTCTACCTATACAACACATTTTACTTCCACTGTGTACACTCCATAAGTGGATCTCAAGTTCTAAAGCACTCTTTAGAATTACTAAAGCATAGCACCACAATTCAAAGTATGCAGTAATACTTCTATTTCCTTTTACACTGAAACAGAATGTACTTAATATCATCTTCTGTAAGCTGATGTTCTATTAATATTATTCTTAAAATACTTACTTATAGTAACAAATGTCAATCCCCATACGAATCCACCATGGTCTGCCATTTAATGCTTCCTGAACCGAATACATGAGTGGTTGCATACCTTTAAAAAAAACAGAGACAGAGAAAATTCTTTTCAGAATTTTTGAATTAAAAATTAATCTTCCCTTTGTAGAAAGCACCAAACATTCAAGAAAGCTGAAATAAATTACATTCCAGTTATTTAGTATGTATTTTTAAAATCTGATGCGTTTCTTAAACATACCAAGTCAATCAATGGTATGCTTTTATTTTTTGTTTAATAATACAGGATTAAAACTTTAGAGTGAAAAGTCATTAAACTCTTTTCTATTAAATTTTCTACATGAAATCAATTAAACATATTCCTTATTTATAAAAAGTGAAACAAAAATATATGTAAAGACATAATGTACAATCACCCCTCCCTCTAACTCTCCATGATTTCCATCTACACTGAAGTTAATGGGAAAACGCCACCAAAATGGTATGTTTGCTTTCTTCCCCACTTTTCCCCATACATGTTTGCGTTTGTAGGAGAAAAGAGGAAGAGGGACTATTAACCAAAATATAGAGTATATTTTCTTGGGTATTCTTAGAAATGTATTTTCCACATGAACTTTAAAATCATCTTAACTAACTTCTAAATGATACACTAGGTTTCTAAATGGAACTGAATTAAATTTAAGTGAAATATATAAAGGTTGACAATTTTTATTGAGATTTAGTTTGACTTTCCTTAAATTCTAACTTAAGGATAGAATCGTTTTCTTTTCCTGGTACAGAATAATTTTATTAAACTTACCTGTGAGTATTTTTATAAGATTCTTTTTTTCCTTTCCATTTCTGACTGGTTATTCCAACATTGAAGCACTATTCATTTATTTTTTTGTAATTCTCTTAATATTCATGTTATTGAATAAACTAATTATAACAGGTTTTTAGTAGTCTCGCTGATTTTCTAGGAAGATAATTAAAATATTTCATCTCCTCTTCTAATATTTATATCACTTATTTCATTTTCTACTCCATTTAGATAAATGAAACCTCAAAAAAAATTATGCTGAATATAGAGGTAAGAACAAACAATTATTTTTCATGACTTTAATCAAGATGTTTTGCGATTCCATGTAATATTTGTCACTTTTCTGCAAATCAACTTGGTCAGATTTAAATAATAAAAAATAGCTAACAAGAAATAATTTTTGTATATGAAATACTATTCTGTTTTTACATGTATTAAGAAATTAAATCCTCACAACCACCTTTAGGTGGTAAATGCTTTTATTATTATCATTACTTGAGTAGTTTCATCATATTTTTGTTATGTTTCAGTTTTAATTAACTTACCAAATGCCTTTTCAACATCTAATAACAGAATCAGACTCCTTTTCTCCTTTAAACTGCTGATGTAGTTTCCTATTGTTGAACTATCTTTGCATTCCAAGAAAATGCTACTCTATTAACACTATGAGACTGTTTGCTATTATTTAGAATTTTTGCATTTAAATTCTTAAGATGATCTTTCTTACTTCAATTTACTTTTACCATGTATTGGTAAAGATTATACTAGCTTCAGAAAAGTAAATTTTAAAACTTCCATCATTTATTAGAATAAATAATAAGAAGCACCATCCATCTTTCAAAGGATAAATATAATTCATCTGGAATACCATATAAATATGACTTATTAATAGACTTATTAATAAATATACTTTTTAAAATTTCCTTCCTTCCTTCACTCTTCTTTTATTTCTTTTTAAAATGGAGATGGGTCTCACTATGTTGCCCTGGTCTTGAACTCCTGGCCTCAAGTGATACTCCTGCTTCAGCCTCCTAAAGTGCTAGGATTACACTGGCTGGCATGAGCCACTGCACCTAGCCCACTTTTGGTATTTCTATGACTTATATCTAGATATAAAAATGTTTTATACATTTTTAGCATTTATATGTAATAATTTTTTAATCATTCTCTTTCGGTTTATTTTCTTCTCTTTTCTTTTTTTTTTTTTTTGAGACACAGTCTTGCTCTGTCACCCGGGCTGGTGTGCAATGGCACAATCTCAGCTCACTGCAACCTTGGCCTCCCGGGTTCAAGTTATTCTCCTGCCTCAGCCTCCCGAGTAGCTGGGATTACAGGTGCTGCCACCACGCCCAGCTAATTGTTATATTTTAAGTAGAGATGGGGTTTCACCATGTTGGCCAGGCTGGTCTTGAACTCCTGACCTCAAGTGATCTGCCCACCTCGGCCTCCCAAAGTGCTGGGATTACAGGCATGAGCCACCGTGCCCAGCCTATTTTCTTATTTTTTCTAATTTCTTAAGTTGGGTACTTCTTTTCAGTCTTTTTCATTTTAAATAATGTAAGTTATTAAAAGTCTTCAGTTTCCCTCTGAATACCAGTTTAACTCTAACCCGTCTAAGTCTGAAATGTTCTCCCTTGCACTTTCTAGCTATCCCACTGAACTCTCTGCGATCATGGAAATGTTCTAAATCTGCACTCCCCAATGTGGCAGCCACTAGCCACAAGTGGCTATTAAGTACCAGAAATGAGCTGAGCTCCAATGAAGAACTGAATTTTTTATACTAAATTATAATTAATATAAATTTAAATAGTCATATGTAGCTGGTACAGGACAGCACAACTCTAGATAATTTGTAGCATTTGTTTTAAATTATACCTACTGAATTGTTAAAGAAGTTATTATGTAATTTCCAAGTACAGATTTTTAATTCAATTTTTTAATTTTTACTAATACTTTGAATCAAATATCTGTAGAATTTTAAAAACCATCAATAAGTTTTCTTTGTAGCAAATGTATAATGAAGTTTTAAATGTTTCATGAACATAAAGATAACTTATACTTCTATAAACAAACTGAAAAACTGAGTAACAATTGTATGTAATTACATTATGATTCTGTACATATATAGTTCACTGCAAAGCCAAGGTATTGGTTTTTCAAAAGAAAATGTTTCCAGGGTCCAGTTCAAATGAATTATTTTATATACTTCATCAAATATTCCAACTTATATGACATTTTAATTTGTTTCACACTTGTAGTATGACTTTTTTTATAGTTTTTCCGTTGTTTTATCCTTTTATGGGAGAAATCATGAGCCTTTTTCCCAATGTCCCTACGTTTTCGGTTTCTTTATCATGTTATATCATTTCTTAGAATCCAGACCACTTTTTTTTAAAGTATATTTCCAAGATACCACTAACTTATAATTCTAATTTGGATGAGCTGCTTTCTAAGAAATCTCAGATTTCATCCTGTTATTTCTTTTCACTGGACTTCTAGATGAGTACCACTTTTTCTTGTATCTCACATCTCCCTCTCAGATTTCCAGTGGGATCCTAGTGAATCAAAAAATCAAGCTTGTTAATTATATTATTCAAATTCTCTACAGCCTTACTTATTTTTGTCTTCTTGGTATATCAGATTCTCAAAGGAGTATTTAAATTCTCATGTTTTCTAATCAAGTTCATTTCTTGCAGCTGTTTGCCCTGCTTATGTAGGTGCTATGTGGCTAAGGTTGTTGTGTTGTATAAAGGTTTACAGCATCTTCAAGGATTGCAACTTGTAAATACAAAATAGCTGTCTTTATGCAAGTCACTGTTTTTGACCTTGACGTTTTTGTCTAACACTATTTATCTTTTTTTTTCTAGATGGAGGCTCACTCTGTTGCCCAGGCTGGAGTGCAATGGCGTAATCTTGGCTCACTGCAACCTTCACCTCCTGGGTTCAAGTGATTCTCCTGCCTCAGCCCCTTAAGCAGCTGGTGACTACAGGCACATGCCACCATGCCCAGCTAATTTTTCTATTTTTTGGTTGAGATGGGGTTTCACCATCTTGTCATGGCTGGTCTTGAACTCTTGACCTCAGGTGATCTGTCCACCTCGGCCTCCCAGAGTGCTGAGATTACAGGTGTGAGCCACCATGTCCAGCTGACTGACACTAATATTAACTACTTTTGCTTTATTTTCATTTTATTTGCCTAGTTTATCTTTGCTCGATCATCCATTTTCAACCATTTTTGTCACTGAATACACACACACACACACATACACACACACACACATACACATACTGGGTGGAGGGCAGAGAGATAGACACCCCATTAAACTGTGTAACTTTCAATATCTGACCTTTTGAGGGTACTTCACAGTTTATTTATAGTTGGTGATAATGGATATACATTTCACTTTATTCCTTCCATCTTATTTTCTAATTCTGATATCAACAAATGATTTTTTTCTTCCTTATTTTATTTTTATTGGTTTGGTTGCATTGTTCCACATTTTCTTTTATTCCTTAATTTGGAAGTTTTCTATCACGCTTTTCAATTCTACTTTTCCACCCTCATAGTCATGATTAATTGATATTTTTCAAAAACTATACTAAATTAAATAACTAAGGCATCCCACTGAAACAAGTTAACTTCCACTTTTCCTATATTACCCCCTTCAGAATATTTTTGGTTAATATGTTTTATAGGTTCCAATACTTCTATCTTGAGACCTTTTTACTCATTGATTTTATTCAGAGAGATCAGAGAGCATATTTTCTGAATGATTGTTTTTGAGACAGATCTTCACTCTGTATATTTTCTGAATTCTTATAAACACTGACATGCAGTTTGTTAGCAGTGACAAACAATTTACAGATTCTTCAAAATGCATTTGGATGTCTATGTCTACCAGCTTCCAGTGCTACAGATGAGCAGTTCAATACTAGTTTAATGTTTTAAATATACAAAAAAATATGATGATTAAGAGCATGCAACTAAACTTCCTGGGTTTGAATTCCAACTTCACCACATACCAGATGCATGATCCTGGGCAGACTATTAACCATTCTATGCCCCCGTTTTCTCTTCTATAAAATGAGGGTGAAAACTTCATGGGGTTGGTTGTTGTGTGGATGAAAACTATTCACGTGTTATCACTTAGAACAAGGCCTGGCATGTGATAAATATTCAATGACTGTTAGCTGCTGGTGTTATTATTATCATTATTTCCTTTTAAATAACCTATTCTTCTAAAGTAGAAGCAGGTTAAAATTTTCTCTTTGTACTTGAA